AGTAACTTATACCCTAACTCATCTAATGTATCACAATATAAAACAATTAAAAGCAACTCAACAAATAACGTAACCTATGATTTAATGGAAGATGGGACAGTATCTGATGCTTCAGAATACTAAGCCCAAACTAAAACAAAAAATAAAGCTTTCACTCCTTTGACTATAATACAATGGAATATGAGATCATATAATGCTAATGTGGATAACTTGAAAATAATTATCAAAGAATACAAACCTGACATATTATTGCTGAATGAAACATGGTTAAATAATAAACAAATAATCAGATGCAAGGGCTATCAAGTAATTAGAAATGATAAAGATGATTCGTATGGTGGTATAGCCATCCTTATTAGGAATGAAGTAGAATTTTATGAAATATCTTTAAATAATAAATTTAGTAATAACACTCAATTCCAAGAAATCTTCCTACCTAAATTCCAAATTAATCTACTTAATGCCTATGTTCCTAATACAAATACTATATCTAAACAAAAATGGATAAAACTGATTCAGGAAATCAACAAACCAGTAATTATAATGGGAGATCTGAACGCCAATCATGAGGCTTGGGGTAGCCCCTGTAATAATTTCAATGGGAGAAACATCTTCCAAACATTAGATGAGCTTGAACTAGTTTTTTTAAATGATGGGTCATATACCAGAATAGCACCACCACCAAAAAGATCATCAGCAGTGGACCTAACAATAACATCTAAGGATATTGCTACCAGATCATCATGGCAAATAATTCCTGACTTAGGATTTAGTGATCATCTACCCACAATGTGCAAAATTGGTGTCCAAAACATTACCATCCACATGCCACCTAGGAATAACAGAAACTTCAAAAAAGCCAATTGGGACCAATATACCTCAATATTGGAGTCATTATTTACATCATTTCCACGTGAGAACTACCAATCATTTGCGGACTTAATAAATGAGGCTGCACAGTTGTCCATCCCATTGTACAAATCAAATGTCAATAAACAATATCATATCCCATGGTGGGACGAATCTTGCGCTGAAGTCATTAAAGACAGAATTAAGGCAACAAAGCAATTCCAATCAGCACCCAACTTACAAAATTATTTAATAGTAAAAAACAAATGTGCTATAGCTAGAAGATTCCTTAAAGAAAAAAGGAAGAATAATTTTAGGAAATTTGCAGAAGGCCTTAATAGAAACTCGCCAATCAAGACCATATGGGATAAAGTTAGGAAAATAGCTGGATATGGTAATAGCCCAATTAACTCCCTTCCTAATCCTAATATGGCACAAGAGATACTGAATTCCTTGGCTCCCCCCAGTATACATTTACATCAACAAAGTATACAAACTAACAATATAAGTTCCCCTTTTACCTTTAATGAATACAAACACATAATCAACTCTAAAAAGGAATCTGCTACGGGACTTGACCTAATTTCATACTCTATGATTAAAAATCTACCTCATTCAGGATCATTACTATTGTTACAAATTTTTAACAAATGCTTAAGTACAGGGACCATCCCGATTGAATGGAAACAGTCATTAATAATTCCAATTCTAAAACCTATGAAAGATAAACTCACTGCAACTAACTATCGGCCTATTGCCCTCACCTCTTGTGTGGGTAAAGTTTTAGAATCAATGATCAAAAATAGGTTGGAATGGCTTATAGAAAATAAGAAAATCCTCAGACCATTGCAGCTAGGTTTTAGAAGAGGTAAAGGATGTTTAGAATGTCTATCCTTTTTGACATCTGAAGTCCAAAAATCATTTAGCAATAATGAATGTACAATAGGAATATTTTTGGATATCCATTCAGCATATGATAATGTTAGTATTCACAAACTGTACTCTACATTAATAAATTTGGATATACCATATGATTTAGCTAACCTCATATATGACTTTTTAAAATGCAGAGAACTGTTTGTCAAAGATAACTCTGGATTCGTACATGGCCCAAATACCACTAGCACTGGACTCACACAAGGATCACCATTAAGTCCAATGCTATTCAACATATATACCTACTCATTACACGATGTGTTCCCAAAAAATGCCAAAGTCATACAGTATGCGGACGATTTTGTAATTCTAGTCAAGGGAGTGAACGTTAAAAATATGATATCAAAAATAAACAAATATTTAGCCAATCTTGAGGCCTGGCTGGACAATCATAATTTGAACATCTCTGTGGGAAAATCTAAAGCTATCTTGTTTACCAAGGGTATTACCAAAATAATGCCTGGAAACATCAGTTATAAGAGACAACATATAGAGTGGGTAGATAAAATTAAATACCTAGGAATGGTTTTACAAAAGAACCTTAAATGGAACGCACACATTAACCAGCTGGAAGTCAAAATAGGTAAAGCACTGAATGTAATGCGTGCCTTGTGTGGAACATGGTGGGGTAGTGACCCAAAAATATTAAAACTGATCCATGAAGCACTTATCCTAAGTCATTTGAACTATGGGGGCCAATTTCTATCTACATGCCCTAAATATATATTGAAGAAACTAGATCAGATGCATTATCAAAGTATCCGGATTATCACAGGATGCATGAAGTCAACTCCAATTCAAGCCTTGTTATCAGAATCTGGAGAACTGCCATTAAAATACAAAAGAGAATGGCTCACAACAAAATTTTTGCTAAAAAACCTAAGTGTTAAAAACAACCCTGTCATTCAATCAATCGTTGAATTAGAAACATTTTGTAATATGGATAATAAATACTGGAGAAATAAGGAAAAACCCATATTGATAACAACTCTTAGAAAAATCCAACCTTATTTGCAGAACCTATATTCCAGCAAACTTCTTCCTTGCCATGAGTATGAACTGGAACTACAACTTCAACCATTAGGAATTCTGAATGAAAACACTACAAAAAATGAATTCAACCTTATGGATCATGTGAACTTAGTTAAAAAATGCTATTCATACAAAAAATTCTTTACAGACGGCTCAACGGACACAATGGGAAAGGCGGGTTTTGGAGTTTTTTCCCCAGACATAAACTATTCATTTTCATCTAAACTACCCAGTCATACTCAAATATGTACAGCAGAGGTAATCGCGATCAATCATGCAGTCCAAATTATACTAGAACAAAATATCACAGAAGCCATTATCTTTTCTGACTCCAAAAGTGCACTACAAAAAATAAAAAAAACAGGGTTTTCTAAAGACACAGAACATATATCGTATTTAACGAAAAGAGGAATTATCCTAGCAAGGAACAATAATATCAAAATCTTACTAGCATGGATCCCAGGACACACTGGTATTACTGGAAACTACAAGGCTGACCAACTTGCCAATATCGGTCGTTCCCTGAATATTCCCATGAATATCAAGCTACAGTTTTCAAATTTTACACCCTACTTAAAAAGAGAGATTTGGTCTAACTGGGCAGCTGAATGGTACGAAGGATATGGCACAAGTAATTCATTCTATGTCAAAATTAATAACCGAATCCACACACTACCATGGTTCAATAAATTCGCATATATCAGTAGAAGACATTTAACTACAATCATCCGTATGAGAACAGGTCATTGCTCATCCCCTCTTCATCTATTTAGAATTGGAGTCAAAGATGATCCTTATTGCGAATGTGGCCAAGTGGGAGGCTTAAACCATATTTTATTAGAATGTCGCTTAAACCAAAACCCACATTTCGACTTGTATGCCGAATTAGCTAAAACTAAACTTCCCACTCCCATAAATATTTGCACAATTCTCACAAATATTAATGAAAATACAATAAACACCTTATGCAACTTTATTTCTACCTGCAATATTAAATTGTAGACTATGATATTCCTTCTTTAAAGAAGAAAAATACCAACACAAGTATACATGTAGAATAATCCAAAACAAACAAAGGAAGAATATAAGTGTAGGTGGACACTGATTGCTGAAACAAGACAAAAAGTGTCTACCCCAAGTAAACTGGGTAAATTGTCTAGGACATAGCCCAAAAAAAGAACAAGAAGAAGAAGAAACAAAGTTAGGTTAGAATCGACGTGTGAAGGTGCCCGATAATGGTTACTGGATTACCGTAAGGCCGAGATAATCGACCAAAAAAGAAGATATATTTGGTGACTTTTCTAGTAACTTTTTTGGGTGTGAATCTGTCTTTTTAGTTTACTCCTCCTGGTTAACAAACAGAGTATGTCCATCTATTTTCATAAAATTCTTATTAATCTCTGTTTTATTTTTCCCTGGATCTTAAGTGACTAATGAATATGATTTATTTAACTTACTCACTCTTATAAAACTATTGATCATGTTTTATATCACACGTCCGTTTCGTAGTTGTATTGAAATTATAATCTTTCAGACGACTTAAAGTATTTTAATAACAATAATAAATAATAAATCTGTTAATTATTAGTGGCAAATTAATGTTCTTAATTAACATATAAATTTATGCTTTAGATCGGCAATACAAATATCATCTGAAAATAAAATCAGTTTGGATATTGGACGTCAAGGAGAAATAATAGAATAATGCTTTCTACTATTACATTATATATCTATGGAATAATGCAGAATGCTTTATAATAACCATGGACGTATAAACATAGTGTTTCTGTGTGTATCTGTGTTTATACGTCCATGATAATAACCATCGAGTTAAAATCTAACTCGATCATAATAACCAATCTTGAAATATGACATTTTAAACTTAAACGTTTTTTATATAAGCTTTTCTTTTGTAAAGACAATGAAGGTGACTTTACTTAAAAACTTGACATCTTCTTGCCGAACGTGTATCTAAAAAATATGTCGATATTACAAAATCACAAGAAAATTTTAAATCATGTTCTATGCAAATAATATAGAAAGTTCAGTTTTCTGAAATCAAGGTAATATTAAAAATCTCAACTTGACGTCACGGTTTCGACCTTAAGAGTTTCGGTATGTGTTTTAAAAAACTTGCTTAGTTATATTTTTTTCAATAATGACACGTAAACAGTCAATCTTTACAAAATTTTAAATTCGCCCATTTAGCAAAACACTTTTTAAGGATGGTCGCAATTTTAAGAATTTGTTATGGGCCTTTTGATGCTTTTGGCGTAATGTCCCACAGAATTCAGAAGATAAGAGGTCTTTTAAGTAAGCATGTAACTATTTATTTAATTTTTTTTAATACTATGTATGTACCAATTTTACCCCAGTTCACAAAATCATCATATTGGTATCAAAAATCATCGCATTTATCACTACTTTATATACAGTAATCATTTCGAACAAATGTATCGTTCTCGTCAAATCAAGTAAATGAATAAAAAAAGTAAAAGATGATTTTGAAATATATACAAAATAATTCAGCGTATAGCTTGCTCAATATTTAACACTTTTATTGAATATATATATATATATATATATATATATATATATATATATATATATATATATATATATATAGTAAACTCTTAAATATTGGGGAAATCTGCAAGAAAGACTTTAATGAGTATCAATTGTTTCTCCGAACGTTTTCGCTGGCGAATATATATATATATATATATATATATATATATATATATATATATATATATATATATATATATACCTCGTGGATGAGGTAGAGACAGCTCTTAAGAGCATGAAGAACGGCAAGGCAGTCGGTAATGACGGTGTTACAGCCGAACTTCTAAATATTGCTGGTAAAACAACTTGGAGAATCCTAGCAAAAATATACACAGACTGCCTAAAATCGAGACATATTCCGAAAATTCAGCCAACATTATCCTCATTCACAACAAAGTTAGCAAGGAAGACGTTAGAAATTATAGACCGATCAGCTTGCTGCCTGTGATATACAAGGTATTCACCAAAATCATTAACAACAGAATACAGAACACACTTGACGCTGCACAACCCTGAGAGCAAGCAGGCTTTAGAAGTGGCTTCAACACAATGGATCATATTCAAACATTAAGAGAAGTAATGAGCAGAACAGAAGAATGTTCTATTAGAATATGATCTACCACTGGCGCTAGCCTTCATAGACTTCGAGAAGACATTTTGAAACCTCAATACTCCGGGAGTATTGGATTTTAGGAAGTGTAAGACTTCCAAATTCCAGAAGAACTGGAAAAGAGGTGATGAAAAATACTAAAATATGGCTAAGCTCAGAGGAACAAAGTTAAATGGCCAAAGAGACACTAAATCTCAAGTGAGTGTTCGGGCTAGCTTCAATGCACTGGATTGTGGCTTTAAAGATATAAACAGATAGCAAGGATACTAAGCTAATGAGACAAGAAACGAAATGAGACTTGGTAATATCAAACGTGATACAACTAAAGAAGGTCACTGGGAATAAATTTAAGAGAAAAAGAAGGGCGCCAACTCAACGATAGTTGAAATTTTGAAGTAAAAAATGACCGGAAACAAATGATACTAGAGATAATAACCTGAAATCCAAAAATACTAAATATTAATCTTGTCTTGCTATATTATATACTGGTTAGTAGAACTGAAATAAAACTCAAAATAGTAACAATAAATATATTTATAAAAATGTGTATATCGATATATATATATATATATATATATATATATATATATATATATATATATATATAAATATATATATATATATATATATATATATATATATATATATATATATATATATATATATATGTAATACCGATTTACATATAATGCAAAAACTAAATAACAGTGGTAGTGGATGGTGTAAATATACAATAGGACTTAATAGCCCCTCAACAAGCGAATAATCACTACCACTGGTCAAATAGAGTATAAAATATCAGTAAAAATTCAAGAATAGTCCGTATCATAGCCAAAGTCTTAACACAAAAAGGTAGTAATTTAAATTTAACTAGTTCAACTAAAATGAGAGACAAATTACAATATTGTAAAGATATCAAACTTGATAAATCTGTTACAATTCCATTAAATATAGTACATTCAAAAGTGAATCTTCAATACTTCTTATATAATGTTTTTTTTTTAAAAAACCACATGAAATTTATTTCCCTCTCCCAATATCAAAATTGTATTATATCAAATATCTTTGTATTAAAAAAAAATATTATATAGCAAAAGTGAGTTTGGTCAGTACTCTTGAAATCCTAATTAAAATAAAACCTCATAAAACATGAAAGGTATTTTCCCTCTCCCAATAATATCAAAATTATATTTTATCAAAATGTAGTCACTTGATCATATGCATATGAAAAGTTAACAAAATAGACAGTAACAAAAAAATTACACAGTCAAACAACTTATCTTTACAGCACTATAAGTCCATAGGAAAATTCCTTCTGGCACGGTTACATCAGTTTGTGACTGTAAGGACAAACCCAGGGGAGTCTAATGTAGTCAAACCAGGCACTGATCTATCAGCTCCAAGAAATCGGTAACGCCATAACCAAGTTGTTAACTATTCAAGAAATTTAGTTACTAGTCCTTGAGACAATATTCTTAAGAGAATATCCTCAAGTGAAGTGACGGAATCTAAAAGAGTTATGTAATTTATTAATGCAATTCAATAGCTGTAGCAGCGTGGATTGACTACACCAAAACAAAACATCAAAATATCAGGTATTAGGTTAAGTCAACATCATGTCACAGCATCATGTCAAATTTAAGGCCTATTCTCACTATAGTGCCAGGCATGTGCTCGGCTTGTGCCCTGCTCGAGACGTGCAAAATTACTTTAACGTTATTTAAATGGGTTTACCGACGGTCCGTTCTCACTACAAGTGCTTGGAGTAGGAACGGTCCGTGCCCGGCATCGAACTATCTTTTCAAACGATATTTTCCTAGCCCATGCCTGGCACATTCCTTGCACAGTCCTACATAGTGTGAATACTTCAGACGAGTTTCGACGGGCAAAATGGTGCGAAAAAATTATTTTCACATGATACTGATGAATTTTTAATAGAATTAGTTCATGAGAGAAGTGAATTATACTATTTTATGAATCGACTGTATGCAGATGCAGCACATAAGTCTCAGGTATGGTAGGATATTGGAGAAAAAATTAAAATAGGTAAATAAAACACTATATTTTATCTAGGTAATAGACCACTGCCGATAATATTTCAAACAAAAAAATAATAGTAGGATGAAACTCGTTGGAAAAGAAAGATTATATGACAGAAATAAAAGAAAAAATAATTTACGGGCGACCTGAGTTCGGAAAATGGAGGAAGTGAGTTTTTTAAGGGCAAAAATGGTTTATCGTGATTTTCTAAAGCAAGTCGAACGACATATCTACTAAAGCAAGTAGAACTACAGAAAAAATCTTTTTGTAGTTAAAGTAGCTGGAACCACTATTGATTGGTGCTATAATTTTGATGTGATTTTCATTTAGGGCTCCTAATGCCCTTGGGAAAATTCCACGACAACCAAAATTAATTTGGCAATTTGTTCAAAATCGCATTCTGTTGGTAATTCTGGTGAAATTCGGCAATTGACATTCTATAATATATATCTTCTTCTTCTTTAAGTGCCGTCTCCTTTAAGAAGGTTGGCTATCATCACGGCTATCTTCACCTTTGACACTGCTGCTCTAAACAGCTCAACAGAGTTACAATTGTACCACTGCCTCAAATTGTTTAGCCAGGATACACGTCGTCGGCCTATGCTTCTTCTGCCCAGTATCTTTCCCTGTATAATGATCTGCAGCAACTCATATCTCTCACCTCTCATGACATGACCCAGATACTGCAATTTTCTTATTTTAATTGTATTTAATATCTCCTTTTCCTTGTTCATTCTTTTTAAAACGTCGTTGTTCGTAACCTTATCGATCCAACTTATTTTTAAAATTCTTCTATAAGCCCACATCTCAAACGCTTCTATTCTGTTACTTATATCTTTTTTAAGCGTCCAAGCCTCCATTCCATATAATAACACAGAAAATACATAACATCTAAGCATTCGTACTTTAAGTTGCAGACTCAGATCATTGCTACAAAGTACTTTTCTCATAGTATTGAATGTTGATCGGGCTTTTCCTATACGTGATTTGATTTCCTGTGTGTAATCGTTGTTTTCGGTTATGATTGTTCCCAAGTATGTATATCTGTTCACCTTTTGAACGAGTTCGTCCCTATTCCATAACGTGTCCTGTTGTTGTGTCTTTGCGATGGTCATGAATTTCGTCTTTTTGATATTTAAAGTAAGTCCAGCCTCTTCGCTACTGTCTACAATCTTATTTATCAGAACCTGCAATTCTTCAACTGACTCTGCGATTACTAAAGTATCATCGGCGTATCTGATGTTATTTATAAGTTCTCCGTTGACTTTAATTCCACTTGATGTTTCCTTTAGTGCCTTCTGAACTACCTCTTCTGAATAGAGGTTAAAAAGCAGCGGAGACAATATGCATCCCTGCCTTACCCCTCGTTGTATTTCTATTTCTTCTGATAGTTCGTTGCCAACCTTTACAGATGCAACTTGATTAAAGTAAAGGTTTGATATTATTCTAATATCTTTCATATCCAGATTTTTATCTTGAAGTAGCTGTAGGAGGCGATTATGTCTGACTTTGTCAAATGCCTTATTGTAATCAAGGAAACAGACATAAAGAGGTTGGTTAACATCCATACATCTTTGGGCCAATACATTCAGGGCAAACAAGGCCTCTCTTGTACCCATTGCGTTTCTGAAGCCAAACTGCGTGTTACTAATATCTTGCTCCAGTTTTCTGAAAATTCTTTGATGTATAATTTTCAGGAATATCTTTAGAGTGTGGCTCATTAAGCTGATGGTTCGATGGTCACAGCATTCTCTAGCGTTAGCTTTTTTCGGTAGAGTCACGAACGTCGACTTAAGCCATTCTTTTGGAATGACGCCTGTATCATATATGGTGTTGTACAAGTCTTTTAGTATATCTATTTGATCTTCTGCGATTAATTTTATAATTTCCGCTGGTATCTCATCAGGACCTGTAGCTTTATTATCTTTTGCCAATTTTACTGCATGCATGACTTCTTCTTTTGTTATACTGGGCCCCGTTTCTCTACTGTTGTATAGTTCTATGTTTTCTGGTTGTCTCTCATCTTTAAATAATTCCTGTATGTATTGTTTCCATCTTTCTATTTTCTTGTTGTTATCAAGGATAATTTTACCTT